TATATATATATATATATATATATATATATATATATACGTCATACCGTAAGAAGTACGTGTTACCTTTATTGAATTACCACATAATTTTGTAAGGCCTAACTTCGGGCATTGTCTTCCAAGGTAATGGAACTTGAGTTAACTGCGTCTAACAGGTTAAAGAACTGACGTTTTGGGAAAAAAACCATAGAAACAGCAATTATTGCCTTTTGATAGTTGAATGAAGGCCCCAGCTAGAAAGTAAAAGTGTGACTTTTTATCTTATTCTGTTTAGGCCTAGCCATCCCTAAGCAGGAATTTGGTGTTGCTACGCAAATTGCCGAAGTCTTTGGCTATCAGCCTGTTGATGGCATTCTTGGACTTGGCTGGCCAGAACTTGCTACAGAAAAGGTTATCTTGACAAACCAAACAGTCTAATCTAAATAACGTCTATGTTAGGTCGTCCCACCTATGCAAAATATCCTCTCTCAGCTGGACAAGCCAATTTTCACAGTTTGGCTAGATAGGAAGGTTGGTCGTCCCTAGAGAAGGTGGCATCTACCGTGATCATAGTCATTTTTATAGTTGACACCCAGTAAAGGAGATAACGGTGGTCTAATTACATATGGCGATTATGATCTCAAAAATTGCGCTCCAGACGTGAATTTTATTCAACTTTCGTCGCTGACTTATTGGCAATTTCCTATGCAAGGATTCTCAATAGGGAACTACACCAAGAAGAAGATGGAGCAGGTTTTACAGCAGCAGGATCTGCTGTAAAAAGAGTTATTGTCCCATATTTATCTAATAATATATCTAGGTTATATCAGACACTGGGACATCGTGGATTGGAGCTCCAAAAGGAGTTGTCGCTGCCATAGCACAGGAAATTAACGCAAAATACGATCCCGTTAATGAACTCCTTACCGTCCCCTGTTCAACGATGTGGACTCAACCAGATTTGGTCTTTACCATTAACGGCATCAGTTACAACGTCCCCTCTGTTCAATATATTCTTGACATCGAACTTGGGAACGACAAGGTTTGTGGGAAAACATTTTTGCAGTAATAATTTCTTGAACCTTCTTTAGTGTGCAGTAACCTTCTTCACTATGGACTCTGTCGGTTTTGGGCCCGCTTGGATCCTTGGTGACGCGTGGATTCGCACATATTGCAATATCCACGATATTGGACAAAAAAGAATAGGATTTTCGAAAGCTATTCACACTGAGTTGCAGTGACGTAAAATCGAGCTTTCTTGTAATTTAATTCGTAATCAATTTGAAATTGTTGCAAAATGCCACTTACAATTATCAATAGGGATTGTCTTGGTTTTTTTAAAATCTTTTTTCCAAGTAGTTTTAACCAACTCACTTTTCCGCGAATCATTCTTCCCTAAAGCATACGATAGAATTTTATACTGTTAAAAAACTTGCTTGCTTTATTGTCACCGCATTTTCAGGCAATTTGTGCGGTAATGCTTATAGCGCACATTCAGCTATGCGCCACTTTAGGACTCCTATGTGCTTTATTTGAATAGAATAGACTACTTAGGTGCGATAGTCCAAAAACAGAACAACAGATGTGATGGTGGTTTTTACTTAGACGCTTTGTAAGATTGTGGTATTGATGTACCACAATAATTAATGAGAGTATACAAGCAAATCTTTCAGGTCCAAAAAAGTAATAAAGGGAAAATATTTAAACAGTAGTAATGGCAAGCAAAAATGCCATGTAACTTCTTTTAAACGTTCTTCATTCATTTTTTTTT